TGGTCTGGTGGGTGCTTCTCTGTCTTCCCCAGGAATGTTTTTTGTTTTTTTTGTTTTTTTTTTTTTTTTTGAAATAAAGAGGCGTTAATACATAAAATCTACCACGCTGAGCTTCATGGTTCTAGTTAGCTATCTTAAACAGTTGTTCTTTCTTAATTTTATTCAACATGCAGAAGAGGAAAGAAAAAAAAATAGCACGTTTTCATTCTTCTGCTATTAAAATCAGAAACATTTCTAGGTGTACGAAATACACTTTAAAGGCAATGGACAAAAAAACGCCATTCATTCTGTAATGGTGTCAAAGGACAAATATCTGCTTTCATTACAAGCTTCGAAAATATTTTCTCTTTAAACTACCATCCACAAAAATACAGGAGAAGCACATTTTCCAAAATACTGCATAAGCCCAGTGTTCCTGTACTTTCTGAGGTATTTGTCTACACTGCACTTCTCCCTCTTAGGAGACTCCTGCAGTGTAACTGTAACTGGCTGCATTTCCTCCAGGGAATTTTTCAAGTTTGGATATTCCTATCAGCTAAGTAGCTAAGTCCCACTGGTTGCTGCCTTGGCTGCTGGCCACTTTTTTTTTTTTCCTTCCCCTAAGGGAATCATACTGGGAGTGCACAATGATAACTGATGTGCAAGGAACATCCTGGAAATCTGTATTAAAATTGTACGTGATGGCTCACTGAAAAACCACAAAAGCCAAGAAATTCAGTGCTAAACCTGAAAGCCCATGTTCACGTAGCCCATTGACTCTAAATACTTCAACACGGGCAGTATAGTGGCACTGCCAATACACAGGAACAGGGGAGGAACACCAGGAGGAGGAGGGATCCGAGTTAACATCTTGGTACCGGTGGTTTTAGTGTAGCCACTGCTGGCAATGGACATAATTGACCAGGAAAATCCAACTCCCAGTGCAAATGGATTAAGGAAGTTTAAGTCTTAAGTCTAAATTTCCTGGCTTTTGTGGGTTTAACTCAGACTCTCAGCGGTATTTGAACATATTTTTGGTGGTTTAATGTCCTGTTTCTAAACAGTGATGGGATTTTTTTTTCCACATTCTCAATGAAGTTTGCAAGAAATGATACAACAAAATGTTTTAAACCTGAATCTCCTAAATATAAAGACGATGCCTACGAGGTTTTCTGCAATCAGTCCAGTTCATTAGTTTGCCTCCTCTACCAAAAATAAGTAGAAAATATTCTTAATGTGCATTAAATAATTACCAGGCTGGTCATTTCAGTTTAGATAGACCACCACATTTCAATAGCACTTCTTACACGTCAATTCAGAACGGTCGTAATGCCACATTTTAAACTGTAAAGCATATTTGATTAACTCAGTTTCACAAAACTTGGTGCCATGTTAGCTTTAACAGAAACAAAGCTGCTGAGAGTTAGTTGCTCTCTTTTAAAAAACAGGTTAGAAGGGTTGCACGTGCACACTGCTCCTTAACACTTTAGTGCCCCAAAAAAATGAACTGGAAAGTAAGTCAGGCCTACTACATTTGCTGTTAAGATGCTACTGTAATATACACCACCCCATACCAACTTCTAGCAATTTCTGTAAACTAGGAACGACCAAAAGTGTAGCACGTGACGCAGGACCTAGCTGTATGTAAGGGAGATGATGTGATCCTGCCCGGGGAGGGTGTGTAGCAGTGTTGGATTTAGAGTTGAAAGTGGAGCCGTTCCCATAAGGAGGTGGGCACTACGTGTCACCCAGGTTCAGCGTACTTCTTCCTTCTCACACCCCAGGTTTGCAACCTTCACTCCTTGAATGTGAACTGTAAGGGTCCTACTTTGCACTTCTTAAGGAATCAAAGCTCCTACTGACTTCAAAATTGGAGTTCTCCCTCAGCCAAGAATGCAGAAACAGGAACTCGGCATTTTGACTATTTAGGCTGAAAACAGAAAGATTCTCAGCAAAGTGCACCACTGTCTTCCCCTTTCTCCTTCTCTAACAGTCACTGCTAAAAGCCCTACCCCTCCATTAAACAGCACCAACTCTCAAGTACGGAGGAGACGCCCCTTGTTTCCAATTCATGTGAAGGATGAATATGCAAAGCCAAGTTCATGTGATGAAGGAAGTTGCTCCATGTTCCAATGAGATTTAAAACTTCAGTGAGTACCTCTGAACTCTCCCTCATTCAAATTGTCACAGCTTGGGAGCGGCACATAAATAATTATAATAAGGCATCTCCTACTCTCATAGCAGCCAGTTAACTGGAGCACTGGTGCCACTTCCTCAGCTAAGGAGAGGCCAGCCAAGGAGTCCCTGCAACCTAGCAGAAGAACTCCTGGCTTTTTAAAAATGCAAACAGTGGAAAGCCTTTTGACATACTTTTCTGTTAAATAAATGTTAACATACTTGCTGTTGGTTAGCAAACAGTTTAATGAAATATTTGCACAGAGGGACTGTGCTTTCTTGATCTGAATCCCAAGTTTCCCTGTCTTAAGTTTCCAAATGTGCACGCTAACATAACTTTTTCCAACCGTCCCTTCCTCTTCAAACAAAACAAAACCCGCTCTGTGAACGTCTCATTTACAAGACATGTAAGAGGTACGGGAAAGCTTCGTTTGACCAAAGATTTATTTGCAGTGCAAGCAAAAAACCAACGTCCTCTTAAAGACTGCTGTGCAAACGCTTTGTTCTGAATAACCACCTTCCCGGGCCAGGGGAATATTTAACTCCTTTTTCTTTTTTTTCTCTCTGTGCTTAGCATTCCCCTAACATAGTCACGCTGCAGCGCAGGAGTTAGCTCACGCTCTCCAGTTTTCTCGCACCCTCTTTCCAGGAACGCTGGGGACAAATCGCGAGGATTTCACCCTCTCTCCATCCAGGCTCTGCAGCCTGGCAGCCCCGCGCACCCGCAGAAGGAACATGCAATCCTCCCTCCTCCGATTCTTTTACAAAAGATCAACTCTGCCTCGTTTGCGAGGAGCTACTTCTTAGCACCGGTGTTGAAGAAAACAGATATATACATAAATAACGTATAAGAGGTAAATCCTCCCTTCCTTCGGCAAAAGCACCCCTTCTTCAAAACGATCCCAGCCCCGCCTACGTG